TTTTTTTTTTTTTTTTTTTGGTTCTGATCTTAGATATGGATAAAGTTGGTATCTTTATTATTCAAGAATTGATAGATCCACTAGACGGATCCAATACTTCTTTATGAGATTGGCCAACCCAAAAATAGCCCTCTCCGCACGAAAGCGAAACATGAGTCGTGTATGGCAGCCATCCAACCTTTGTTAAAAAGCCAATGCACGGATCCCCATTTACCTCATTGTGCACAGTCCCTAAATCTGTTATTTGTTTGGATACGCCACCATACAAAATCGCATACAGAGATCTCGATACGCTATACCTGTGACTTTATTACCAGTCTTACGAGATCAAGTTGAACACTTGGCTTCGTGATGAAGTTATAGAGGTTGCTCCACTTGATCACTGCTTGGAATAGTCCCATTACTTTTGCTCCCCAAAAAAAAAAATGCTGATGGCGTTATTTTTTTTTTTTCTGTGAAACGCCCCTTGTCACTTGAATATTTTTTAATAATAGGAATGTCCTAACATTCAAGTGAGATTTTCTAAAACAAAATGTCAGACACTAAAGCTTTTAACCACCCTCGATTTGAAAGCCGCTTTTCTTGAGGTTTAAAGACTTTGAAAGGGAACTTTTTTTTTTGCAGGATTAGGTAATAGAAAAACCGAATTTACGGATAAATCTTTTTGTTTTCAAGTTTTGGGAACGTTGCAAGAATTCCGTGGGCGTAGGCGTTGTATTTTATTTTAAACATTTACCGACCGTTTTCATTGGAATCGCAATAATCCTGCTGTATTTAGTCCAAGGCCCAAATTGACTAAATTAGAAATTCAGACTTTTATTAACCAATGGCCCCATAACTCCACAACCCACCAAACCAAATTACACAAATGTATCACCAGCAATTCTCATTAACACCTGTCACTATTAACGAGAATGAATATGAAAAAATTCATACTACTACCATTTACTTTTTTTTTGGAGAAAGAAATGATCTTTGGCCTGTGTAAATCAATGATTTCGCAGACTTATGTCTGTATTCTATAGACCTCAATTAATTACTCTAATCCCATGAACGAATTAAAAAAAAGAGTATTAGTTAAAAAGCTGAAGCATGTTATGAATTTCGACTAAATAATGCGACTAATTGAAGAAAACATACCGCCCCTCGCTTTTAACCTATTATGATCGCCACATGCTTAGGTTTGATACCCTCACCAGAGTGTAAAAATGTGTGCGAGGTAGCAAAAAAGGGGGGTTGGGTCGTAAAACTATCCCGTCCCCCTTATGCGCAGAAAAAGATGCAATTCCTAAATATTTTTTCCACCGCCGATAAATGGAGATACATAAAAGAGAAACCGGTCTAACTGCTTCAATGAAAAATAGGTATAAAAGGGCATGAAAAAAAAACACAAGTTTTTTATAAAGTTATTACTGATTATTAGAATCATGTTCAGCGAGTCTTCTCATTTCGGCTTACTTTTAGTTTCTACAATTGTCTTGCTATCCGTAACGTTTACAAAAGTAGACGGACAGCCCTTTTATTGTGTCAATGAAATGGGTGCTATAGGTTCAGGTTTTGCAGGAGGCGAGCACTGTTCTACGATGACTGGATCAGTAGATATGATAAAGCGTGAACAAGAAAAAGGATCTTTTGAAAGAATGAAAAATACTGATTATGCCGTTGGTGCTATTGTGAGTAAAGCTGCAGGTGATGTTGTAGGTAAAGCCGCAGGAAATGTTGTAGGTAAAGCCACAGAAGATGTTGTAGGTAAAGCCGCAGGAGCTGCCGGGGGTATAGTGGGCCAAATCCGGCAAGATGATGGAGAAAATGAGAGTAGTGTAGGAAATGGCGGTGATTTTGTGGGGAAAACTACAGGAGCTGCTGGGGGTATTATAAGCTGAATCCGGCAAGATGATGGGGAAAATGAGAGTACTGTAGGAAACCTCGGTAAAGGAGGGAATTAGTCTAAATGAAATGGGAATGATAATAAAGAATAAATTGCATGCCATCAATAACAATGTAAAGGAGGAGTGTATGGTTGGATTTAAACAACGATTTACGTTTTATTATATACCAAATATCGCTCTAAATTATCAGTGTGCTCATTTTCTTGGACCTTTTACAATGATCAAATTAACTATTACGTACTTTCTTTTTGATCACGCAAGTAGAGGACAATAAAAGTCGTCTCATTCTATTTTCACGCAAATAGGGAATCACTATTTTTTGAGATCATGTAAAAAGCGAAGTGATAGGAAAAACAAGTCTCGATTAAATCACTTGTCTTATTCTACTAGTCAAAGCTAATAGATACTCCCCGCACACACTTTCCTTTTCTTTTTTCCAATCTTTCCGTTTGTTTTAATGCAGAGCTACAACTAAATGCACACAATCTGAGGCCTAAAACCTTAAATAATCAGCAGACTGGCGTTCTTTACCATTAACACATAATATAAAGATAATTCTCCGATATAAACAGGACACTCAAAATGCATTTGAAAAACTCACGATGGATCGTCTCACTCATTATCACTACATGGTAGAAGGTATTTTACAGCAGAGCGTTTATCTTTAGACAGACGCGAAAGCAACTAAAATAACTATTGTCATTTTTTTTTTAAAAAAAGAAAAGACGCCGTTGTGTTACCCAAGCAAACCAAAACTTATACTTTCTATTTGTTATTGATAAAGTAAAGTGTTGATCTTGGGAGCAGTCTGAGTGCAACTGGATGAGTTTTTGAGAAGTCGTTACACACGCCTCCCAGAAAGTGAGGCCGTACTGGCCACAATGATACCATCATCTAAAACTTTCGTTTAGTGTTTGAGCGGATTTAATTAGTAACTATAACAGTTTCTAATTGATATAGAAAAGCTATAAATCAATCATAATCTATGTTTCCAATAGTGTTTAGAATGATTAATTTTATATTTATATATAAAAATAAATGTCCACTCTGTCATATTGGCCTTCCAAAATATGCAACAAAAATAGCATAATGATGAAACTACTGAAGACCAATAGAGAGGAAAAAAGGACTGTAAAATATAACCAATGCATTCACTTTTTTTGTAGTGTGATATTCTCGCACTGGATAATCCACCACCACCATCTGTCGTAGCATGTTAGGATAGGCGTTTAATCGATTCGCCGGATAAAGAAGGAATTCACATCATCTTGTGCAACTTTTATTATGAGACAAATACTTTATGAAGACGGCAAGTGAAAAGGGCTTTATCACTAAAACGTATGTCATTATAGCCGCATCGATACACGACCCCCGTGTAATTCCATCAAAGAGGTTGGTTCTACTTTTATTCTAATTAAATCTTTTGCCATTGTTTGTATGAATCCCCTTCTTCGTGTGTTTTACAAAAAGAAAAAAAGGGCTATTTTTCTTCGTTACTCCAAGTGTGACAATGACACTACAGCTATTTTGAAATACTGACTTTCTAAAGTATACGCATTTACTCCTACACACAAATTGTTATAGCTGTATGTATTTTTTTTTTACTTGTTGATCAATATTATTAGTAATATGTCCAGGTTAACATTATTGGATTTAGGCTTTCACTAATGCCGCATGCCCACATGATTTTTTGGCCTACCGAGCCATAGACAAATATAATCATCAGCATTGCATTGATGCATGCTATTATTAACGATAAGCTTAATTAAGATTCGGCGAGGATATATCCATTGTTTTATACAGGGAAGGATCTTTTACTCATTATGCCACTAACAGGTCTAAACCTAGGGCAGGAGTAGTTCAGAATGGCGATACCAAATGATATCGAAGATTCCTTGCAAAAAACCTCGCATGATGGAAACGCTCGTAGATGTGATAGACTATCTGACGTAAACAATTCCAATGCAATAAGATAATCGTCTTCCATAAGGACAAGGACAGGAGAGTTTAAGAATTTTTGTAAAGTGATCTGCTGCATTGTCAGTTTTTACGTTTATATTGTTGGAAATAAAAACAAAGGTGAATTGTTGCTGCGATGATTTCACAGATATAACTTTATTCATAAACTTGAGTAATCTAATCCCATGAACGAGTTCTAAACAAAACGTGGTAGGCAGGAAGATAAATCATGACATGAAATTAGACTAAGAACTTATCCAGATAATTGAAGAAAATATGCCCCTCACTTTAAGCTTAATGTTATGATCGTCATATTATTATGTATAATACCTTCGCCATGAAAATGTGTGCGTGAGATAACAAGGGGGTTCAATCGTATAATTATTCCGTTTCTACAACTCTTTGTATATACATAAGACGATACAATCACTAATTACTTTTGGCAACGTCAATAGTGATGTACATAAAAGAAAATCCGGTCTAGTGAGTGCATAACCGCTAGAATAAAAAAAAAATGTATAAAAAGACATGCAAAAAGAAAGCACGAGGGGGGGGCTTTTTTTTATAAAACTCTTAACAAGTTAAATTATCATCATGCTCAGCAAGTCTTCCCGTTTCGGCTTGCTTTTAGTATCTACAATTGTCCTGCTATCCGTGACGGTTACAAATGTAGATGGGCAGCCCTTGGATTGTGTCAATAAAAACGGCGCCAGTGGTTCAAATTCTGCTGGAGGCGAGTACTGTTCTGATAAGAATGATACAGTAGATATGAAAAAACGTGAACCAGAAAATATTGAAAATGGCTCTGGCGTAAAAGATGGTGCTATTGTTTCTCCCAGCGTGATTGCGAAGGGGGTTTATAACGGACTCGTCCCAAACCTTTATGATAAATCACCAAATGAATCTGAATAGGGGAAAGTAGGAAATGGAATAAAAATCGATAATAAAGAATGAATTATTCATACAATAAATAATAACGTTAAAGGAGGAGTGGGATGACTGAACAGTGATTTGACATTTTGATTTATACTAAATAACACCATCTGAATCATCTGTGAGCTCAATTTCTTGAACCCTTTACAACGCTTTTACAACGCTGAACATGGCTGTTACTTACTCGTTTCAAATAACGCCATCAGAGGGTAATAATAGTCCTTTTTATTCCTTTATCAAGCAAATAAGGGATCACTATTTTTCGAGGGAACATGTGTAAAAAACCGTAGTGATAACTAGGAAAAAACCAAAGTCTCAACTAAATCACACTTGTCTCATTTCTGCTGGCATGAAAGCTTAATAGATACCCCCCCCCACACACACACACACACTTTTTTTCTCTCTCTTTGTTCCAATGCAGAGCTACAACTGTATGCCCACAATCAGAGACCTAAAACCTTCTCCCAAAATATAGACAGAACAATCAAAATGCATTTGAGAAACTTACAATGAATCGTTTTACTCCTTAACACTGAGAAGTATAATGGCTGTTATATACAATAACAAAAGAAAGGAGACTCTACACAGTTCTTGAAGTGCATCGTGTTACACAAGCCAACCAAAATTTACTTTGTTATGCATTATTGATAAAGTAAGTGTTAATCATAAGTGCAACTGAATTTTTGAGAAGCCACATCCCACGGTGATATGTGGACCCCTAGGAAGTGAGGCCACCATGATACCATCATCTGAAACTTTAGGTTAGTATTTGAGCAGATTGGGATGGTAACCATGACAGTTTCTAATTGATATAGGCAAGCTACAAGTCAACGGTAGTGTAAATGCTTTAAAGAGAGTTCAGGATGATTGTTTCTACATATATAAAAAGGAAACGTTCACTCTGTCACCCTGGGCTTCCGAAATATGCAAAAACAACTCAATGATGAAGCTACTGAAGACTAAGAAAGAGGGAAAAAAGAACCGTAAAGTATAGCCAATGAATTTAACTTCTTTTGTAGTATGATATTCTCGCACTGGATAATCCACCACCACCATCTGTCGTAGCATGTTAGGATAGGCGTTTAATCGATTCGCCGGATAAAGAAGGAATTCACATCATCTTGTGCAACTTTTATTATGAGACAAATACTTAATAAAGACGGCAAGTGAAAATGGCTTTATCACTAAAACGTATGTCATTATAGCCGCATCGATACACGACCCCCTTGTAATTCCATCAAAGAGGTTGGTTCTACTTTTATTCTAAATAAATCTTTTGCCATTGTTTGTATGAATCCCCTTCTTCGTGTGTTTTACAAAAAGAAAAAAAGGGCTATTTTTCTTCGTTACTCCAAGTGTGACAATGACACTACAGCTATTTTGAAATACTGACTTTCTAAAGTATACGCATTTACTCCTACACACAAATTGTTATAGCTGTATGTATTTTTTTTTTTACTTGTTGATCAATATTATTAGTAATATGTCCAGGTTAACATTATTGGATTTAGGCTTTCACTAATGCCGCATGCCCACATGATTTTTTGGCCTACCGAGCCATAGACAAATATAATCATCAGCATTGCATTGATGCATGCTATTATTAACGATAAGCTTAATTAAGATTCGGCGAGGATATATCCATTGTTTTATACAGGGAAGGATCTTTTACTCATTATGCCACTAACAGGTCTAAACCTAGGGCAGGAGTAGTTCAGAATGGCGATACCAAATGATATCGAAGATTCCTTGCAAAAAACCTCGCATGATGGAAACGCTCGTAGATGTGATAGACTATCTGACGTAAACAATTCCAATGCAATAAGATAATCGTCTTCCATAAGGACAAGGACAGGAGAGTTTAAGAATTTTTGTAAAATGATCTGCTGCATTGTCAGTTTTTACGTTTACATTGTTGGATATAAAAAATAAAGGTCATTTGGTGCTGCGATGATTTCACAGATATAACTTTATTCATAAACTTGAGTTATTCTAATCCCATGAACGAGTTCTAAACAAAACGTGGTAGGCAGGAAGATAAATTATGACATGAAATTAGACTAAGAACTTATCCAAATAATTGAGAAAAACATACCCCTCACTTCAAGCTTAATGTTATGATCGTCATATTATTATGTATAATACCTTCGCCATGAAAATGTGTGCGTGAGGTAACAAGGGGTTTCAATCATATAATTATTCCGTTCCCACAGCCCCTTGTATATACAGAAGATGATACAAATACTAATTACTTTTGGCAACGTCAATATTGATATACATAAAAGAAAATTCGGTCTAGTGAGTGCATAACCGCTAGAATAAAAAAAGATGTATAAAAAGACACGCAAAAAGAAAGCACGAGGGTTTTTTTTTTTTTTTTTTTTGCATTAGATAAAATACTATCAAGTTAAATTATTATCATGCTCAGCAAGTCTTCTCATTTCGGCTTACTTTTAGTTTCTACAATTGTCTTGCTATCCGTTACGTTTACAAAAGTAGACGGACAGCCCTTTTATTGTGTCAATGAAATGGGTGCTATAGGTTCAGGTTTTGCAGGAGGCGAGCACTGTTCTACGATGACTGGATCAGTAGATATGATAAAGCGTGAACAAGAAAAAGGATCTTTTGAAAGAATGAAAAATACTGATTATGCTGTTGGTCCTACTACGGATGATATCGCAGGAGTTTCTCTGGGTTTTGTGGGCGAAATCTCGGAAGATGATGAAGAAAATGAGAGTAGTGTAGTGTTGCAGCCAATCTAAATTGACTTGGTGTTACACAGGATAGGATATTTTCTATAAATACGTCCCTTTTTTTTTGTAATAAATACAAAATATTCGAAAAAAATTCGTTCATCTTCAAGAAAAAATTTCCTTCAGCGACGAATTAAATTATCGCTCAAAAATTAAAAAATAATTCGTGCAGAGTCTACGAACGAAATGAACGAATGAAAATATATTTTATTAAATGGGTTTACCATCAAGACAATCATCAAATTTTTTTGTAGAATATCTACAAAAGCCTTGGAGGTCACTGATAAGTACATTGTTACATGCATCTCTTATTCTCATTGTCAAGGTCTCTTCATCCAACAGCTTTACCCGCTTAAGTTTACTCTTACAAACTGACCAAAACTGTTCGATTGGATTCAGTTCAGGGGAGTAAGGAGGGAGATAGATACAGCCATACCCACGTTTTTCGATAAATGTTTGTATATCTTTGTTGGTGTGGATAGGCGCACTATCCATGACAAGGTAGTGGTTCTTAAACTCCTCGTGTCGATCCATTACGTCTAGTGTGTTGGCAATGAAGTTAAAATAATGACCTGTAACGGTCCCGCCTTTGATACTGACAGGCTTTCCTCCTTCGGCTTTTCTTTTTTTTGAAGAGGCTGCAACTCTTGGACGTCGGATACTGACGTTGACAACACCGGAAGGTGAGATGGCCCCCAAAATAGTTGTTGTTTTTGCTCTTGTTTTAGGCACAACAACAACCGCACATTCTCCCTTCTTAGACCATGCTACGCTACGTTTCATATTAATATGAAACGCAGCTTCATCAATAAACACGCAATTACTATTGTAGTCCATATCAGTACTCATCCATCTAATAACCCATTGACGTCTCTGCTCAATTTTCTCAGGACTATTTCTTTCGACAGAGTGAAAGTGGGCTCTTTTCAAAGATATGCGGCATTTCTCGGTTACAAAATTATAGAGTGCCGTTTTGGAAATGCTGAGGTCACTGAATTCATTTGTCAAACTTTCCATCATCTCATCCAAAACCAACCCAGCATTTTAGTCTACAAGGTTGACCAAAAAAGCCTCGTGGTTTTCATTTAGCAATGCGGGTCTACCAACTGGTCTTCCACTGCCGGGTCTTCGCATGATCGTGTCTTGGGGATCTTTTTCATTTTGTTTTACCCATGTTTGCGCTGTTGAAGGAGGTATATTCAATTTCTGAGCAATTGCTCGGGTGGACATATCTGTCTGCGTGTAATAATAAAAAAACTTTTCTTTATCCTCGTCTTTATAACGTCTATAAGTCTTTCGAATAGGCATTTCAGGGTCGGTGCTGCCAGTCTCAGCTTCCACAAACTCTTCTTTCTTAACCTCTTTTTTCTCTTTCTCGGTTGGCTTGACATCGACATATTGATCATACTCTGTAGCGTTTCCCAAGGGAAAAGTCTCGTAGTCGACATCCATTAACATTTCAACAATCTCATTTCCCTGCTCATCAATTGCGCCTCCTTGATCATCTTCAATAATAATGTTATCCATTGCAAATGTAATTTTGTAAACAAGCTCCAGAAAATGAACGAATTTTTCACTTTTAAATGCGCGTAATTTTTTTCTTAGTTTAAACGAAATATTATTGGGGCGCTGAACGAAATTTTATGGTAAAAATGAACGAATTTTTTTCCTGGAGTGCACGAATAATTTATGATATTAGTGTATATCTCCAGTTTTATCTTAACTAAAAATCTAGTTTCTTAATAATTTGTAATTGACTCCTTTGTGTTTCCCTCAACTTTCCTACTTCTTGTTTATCTTAAGTTTATACTTACATATAACAATTAACTTAAAGTTCATATTTTCACACTCGACTCGAATCTCTTTATTACTACAACCGTACATAAGATATTGTTTATAATAACATAATTACTTTTCTTTTTAATCTTGGCAATTCGTTTATATTTATATTACTTACGCCCTCTTAAAATCATCGTTGATTATCTTCTTATCCTAAAAACTTTATATTATAAGATTTCTTAAGTTGACTACTTCCAGTCTGGTGCTCACTTTCATAACTACTTTATTATTAACCGCAGTGTTAATAACCTATATCCACCTTATCCTTTAAGAACTATTACCAGTGTCTTAACAGTAGGAAATGGCGGTGATTTTGTGGGGAAAACTGCAGGAGCTGCTGGGGGTAATATAAGCTGAATCCGGCAAGATGATGGGGAAAATGAAAGTACTGTAGGAAACCTCGGTAAAGGAGGGAATTAGTCTAAATGAAATGGGAATGATAATAAAGAATAAATTGCATGCCATCAATAACAATGTAAAGGAGGAGTTTATGGTTGGATTTAAGCAACGATTTACGTTTTATTATATACCAAATATCGCTCTAAATTATCAGCGTGTTCATTTTCTTGGACCTTTTACAATGATCAAATTAACTATTACGTACTTTCTTTTTGATCACGCAAGTAGAGGACAATAAAAGTCGTCTCATTCTATTTTCACGCAAATAGGGAATCACTATTTTTTGAGATCATGTAAAAAGCGAAGTGATAGGAAAAACAAGTCTCGATTAAATCACTTGTCTTATTCTACTAGTCAAAGCTAAAAGATACTCCCCGCACACACTTTCCTTTTCTTTTTTCCAATCTTTCCGTTTGTTTTAATGCAGAGCTACAACTAAATGCACACAATCTGAGGCCTAAAACCTTAAATAATCAGCAGACTGGCGTTCTTTACCATTAACACACAATAAAAAGATAATTCTCTGATATAAACAGGACACTCAAAACGCATTTGAAAAACTCACGATGGATCGTCTCACTCATTATCACTACATGGTAGGAGGTATTTTACAGCAGAGCGTTTATCTTTAGACAGACGCGAAAGCAACTAAAATAACTATTCATTTTTTTTTTAAAAAGAAAAGACGCCGTTGTGTTACCCAAGCAAACCAAAACTTCTACTTTCTATTTGTTATTGATAAAGTAAAGTGTTGATCTTGGGAGCAGTTTGAGTGCAACTGGATGAGACTTGCAGAAGCCATCCCCCACAATGATACATGACCCCCGAACGTGAAGCCATAATGGCCGCAGTGATACCATCATCTAAGACTTTCGTTTAGTATTTTAGCCGATTGGGTTAGTAACCAAGACAGTTTCTGAATAAAGTGTAGACAAGCTATAAGTCGATCATAATGAATGTTTCTAATAGTGTTTAGGATGATTAATTTTATATTTATATATAAAAATAAACGTCCACTCTGTCATAGTGGGCTTCCAAAGTATGCAACAAAAAATAACTCAATGATGAAACTACTGAAGACCAATAGAGAGGAAAAAAGGACTGTCAAATATAGCCAATGCATTCACTTTTTTTGTAGTGTGATATTCTCGCACTGGATAATCCACCACCACCATCTGTCGTAGCATGTTAGGATAGGCGTTTAATCGATTCGCCGGATAAAGAAGGAATTCACATCATCTTGTGCAACTTTTATTATGAGACAAATACTTAATAAAGACGGCAAGTGAAAATGGCTTTATCACTAAAACGTATGTCATTATAGCCGCATCGATACACGACCCCCGTGTAATTCCATCAAAGAGGTTGGTTCTACTTTTATTCTAATTAAATCTTTTGCCATTGTTTGTATGAATCCCCTTCTTCGTGTGTTTTACAAAAAGAAAAAAAGGGCTATTTTTCTTCGTTACTCCAAGTGTGACAATGACACTACAGCTATTTTGAAATACTGACTTTCTAAAGTATACGCTTTTACTCCTACACACAAATTGTTATAGCTGTATGTATTTTTTTTTTTACTTGTTGATCAATATTATTAGTAATATGTCCAGGTTAACATTATTGGATTTAGGCTTTCACTAATGCCGCACGCCCACATGATTTTTTGGCCTACCGAGCCATAGACAAATATAATCATCAGCATTGCATTAATGCATGCTATTATTAACGATAAGTTTAATTAAGATTCGGCGAGGATATATCCATTATTTTAGACAGGGAAGGATCTTTTACTCATTATGCCACTAACAGGTCTAAACCTAGGGCAGGAGTAGTTCAGAATGGCGATACCAAATGATATCGAAGATTCCTTGCAAAAAACCTCGCATGATGGAAACGCTCGTAGATGTGATAGACTATCTGACGTAAACAATTTCAATGCAATAAGGTAATCGTCTTCCATAAGGACAAGGACAGGAGAGTTTAAGAATTTCTGTAAGGTAATCTGCTGCATTGTCAGTTTTTACGTTTATATTGTTGGAAATAAAAACAAAGGTGAATTGTTGCTGCGATGATTTCACAGATATAACTTTATTCATAAACTTGAGTTATTCTAATCCATGAACGAGTTCTAAACAAAACGTGGTAGGCAGGAAGATAAATTATGACATGAAATTAGAGACTAAGAACTTATTCAGATAATTGAAGAAAATATGCCCCTCACTTTAAGCTTAATGTTATGATCGTCATATTATTATGTTTAGTACCTTTGTTATGAAAATGTGTGCGTGGGGTAACAAGGGGGTTCAATCGTATAATTATTCCGTTCCTACAACCACTTGTATATACATAAGACGATACAATTACCTATTACTTTTGGCAACGTCAATAGTGATGTACATAAAAGAAAATCCGGTCTAGTGAGTGCATAACCGCTAGAATAAAAAAAGATGTATAAAAAGACATGCAAAAAGAAAGCACGAGGGGGGGCTTTTTTTTTATAAAACTCTTAAAAAGTTAAATTATCATCATGCTCAGCAAGTCTTCCCGTTTCAGCTTACTTTTATTTTCTACAATTGTCTTGCTATCCGTGACGGTTACAAATGTAGATGGACAGCCCTTGGATTGTGTCAATAAAAACGGTGCCAGAGGTTCAGGTTCTGTCGGAGACGAATACTGTTCTTATTATAAACGTGAACCCGAAACTACTGAAGATAATGATCTAGTAAAAGAGCCTGATCATAATATCCAAGATACTGTATCGAAAATTTTAAACGGAGATTTCAAACCTCAATAAGTCAGACCAGAATATGCATCTAGATAGGGGGAAGTAGGAAATGGAATAAGAATCGATAATAAAGAATGAATTGCATACAATTAATAATAATGTGAAAGGTGGAGTGTATTGACCGGATTTGGACAGTGATTTGACATTTTGATTCATGCTAAATAACATTACGAATCATCGGCGAGCTCAATTTTTTTTTTTTTGAGCTTTACCATGATCAGATTGGCCGTGTACTTTTTCTTAAAAAAAAAAAACCAGGCAAGTAGAAGACAATTCTATTGTTACGCAAATAAGGGATCACTATTTTTTCGCCAGATCATGTATAAAAAAGCGTAGTGATAACTAAAGAAAAAACAAAGTCTTAATTAAATCACACTTGTCTCATTTCTGCTGGCATGTAAGCTACATAGATATCCCCACACACACACACACACAGTTTTTTCTCTCTTTGTTCGAATGCATAGCTACAACTATATGCCCACAATCAGAGACCTAAAACCTTCTTTCTAATTAACATTACAATAAAGAGGCAACTCTCCAAAAATATAGACATAACAATCAAAATGCATTTGAGAAACTTACAATGAATCTTTTTACTCCTTAACACTGAAAAGTATAATGGCTGTTATATACAACAACAAAAGAAAGGAGACTCTATTCATTTCTTGAAGTGCATCGTGTTACACAAGCCAACCAAAATTTACTTTATTATGCATTATTGATAAAGTAAGTGTTGATCATAAGTGTAACTGAATTTTTAAGAAGCCACATCCCACGGTGATATGTGGACCCCTAGGAAGTGAGGCCACCATGATACCATCATCTGAAACTTTAGGTTAGTATTTGAGCATATTGGATTGGTAACCATGACAGTTTCTAATTGACATAGGCAAGCTACAAGTCAACGGCAGTGTAAATGCTTCCAAAAGTGTTCAGGATGATTTGTTCTACATATATATATAAAAGGAAACGTTCACTCTGTCATCTTGGGCGTCCAAAAATAGAAATGCAACAAGAAACAAATCAATGAAGAAGCCATGAAAGACTAAAAAAGAGAAAAAGGTAGCTAATGTGTGATATACATGGACCGGATCACCATCCGTCGTATTTCATGTTGGTACAAGAGAGAAATACAACATTATTGTTCAATCGGGGTTTTTTTTTATCAGTAAAAGGTCTATATATATAAACGCCGTGTATAATTCCCAACAAAGAGATTTTAATTCCCCCCACTTTTTTCATTCTCTCTTTTGTTATTCTTTGTTTATATAACTCGCCCCCCTTGATATGTGTGTGTATGTGTTTAAGTGAAAAGAAGGTGTACTTTTAAAAAGAAAGGGTTATAGGTTCAAGCGAGAAAATAACGCATTACAACTAAAACCCTTTATTGTGTAATTGTTATATGAATCAGTACAACCCAATGATGGTGGGAGGAGTTTCAAATAACAAGTGAACAATGGGGAAAATAAAAAATAAGTGTGATTTTCCAACCCCACCCCCGACTCCCCCCAAGCTACTACTACAGAACTACTAAATTTTGTTTTGAAGAAAGGGGGGGTGGGGTGGGGTGACCCTTTTTGTTTTTTGTATCTTTTTTTTGATAAAAACCTGTTAAAAGAATATCACTTCAAAAAAAAAAGAGATTTAAGAATAAGCTTTTTTTAAATATATATATATAAAATACTATCGTGACGAAAAGTTGAGGGTTGATCCTTGGACCGGACTTGCCACTATTTTTGGGTTACATAAAAAAAAAGGGGGGGGGGAGGGATGTTTATTGATTACAGATGATATATAAAAAAAAAAGATGGCCTTATCCCACTCAACCATAAAAAAATATTAAGGTTTTTTTTAATCTATGTTCGTACTCGGAAATTTCGGGTCTCTCTTTTTTTTTCTGGTATGATCTTTTTAATAGTTATAAAAAAAAAAAAAGATGGCACATTTTTTTTTTTAATAGTGAAGCACTTTTTATCAAGTGACCGTGCGTTTTTTTTTTGGATGAATATATATATATATAAAAAGTTTGTCCTACCTGTCATGTTTAAAAAGTACACAACAAAAGGGCTATTGTTCTAAATGGTATAAAATAAAAATAAAAAAAATAAAGGTACCCAGGGTTAAAAAGATGGGTAACCCACTCCCTCGGGGGGGAAGGGGGTGGAAATAAAGTTTGAACCCCCCCTCTCACTCACTCTCACTCTCACTCTCTCTTTTACTCCAATCGATGTTGTACATGTAATAATAGAAACCTAGTTCTAAATTTATCCTTTATTGTTGTAAAGAAAGAATGTATATATTTACTTTATGCTGATGGTGGGTTGTGTGTGTGTGTGTATATGTGTGTGGGAGGAGGGTAATAAAAAAAAAAAAGTGAGATATATATATATATGCTACGAGAAAAAAAGAAGGGATATCTTGGGGGAATATGGTGGAAATAAGAATGCAAAAAAAAAAGAAAAAAAAAACATTGTTGGCTATGTACTTTGTATATATATTGTTGTTGTTTGTTGAAATCCCTTCTTTGTTGTTGTTGTTTCCCCTCATCTTTTTTTATTTTTTTTGTCTTCTCTCCCCCGCACCAACACCCACCCCCGTGTTCTTTTTTTTTGTGTGTGTGTGTGTGTATGTTAATTTTTTTTTTTTCTTTGTGCTCTTTTTTTTTTTTTTTTTTTTTTTTTGATTGTTTGTGGGTTGATTGATTGTTTTGAGTTTACTTGGAGTTACGCTTGACACGCTTGGTAGGTCGTTGAAGAGAAGTGGGAATACTAAAGACGTCATGCATCAGTGGCGTATTCATGTCACCCGTGGTAGCAGATCGAACTCTATTGTTGTTATGAGTAGGAGAGGGAGGTGAAACAGAACTAGAAGTGGCTCGACGAGGACAATAACGATATTCAGGAAACGCTTCTCGATGAGCTAATTTTTCCTGTTCTGCAAGTCCATGCCATGGTCTTTTTTCAATTTCAGATAATTTGCCCCAGCGACGAGATGCACGTCTACATATCAAATACATGTCAGTTTCTTTTAAACAATCAATTTTATTCCTTTACAAGGGGCCTTACTTTGAGATTTCTTCTGCACGAAGCGTAGGGTCTTGTGCCTTTAATGCTTGTCCATAATGACATCGAAACTATTTTTTTCATAGTCAGTAAACAAAAAAAATTTTCAAGTCAACCAATTAGATTAAAAAAAAGAAAGAAAGAAAGGGCCTTACGTGAATCCATGCGTTACGAGGTCTTTTAATATGTGCATTTTTTGTCAAGAACATGCTTTGATCGACATTGGATTTATTGTTTTTATGATGAACCACGGTATGGTGATACATGACATCGGCTAAGCGTTTATGAGACTTGGATGGAGTGTCGGATGGGATGGACTTGAGCAATGATTTGGCAAGATGAGAACCAGGGTTTCGATGATCAGCAGCAGCAGCAGCAGAAGCAGAAGCTGCAGTCATTGTAGGTGACATTGGATCCCCCATTGTGCTACCAGATGTGCTACTACTACTAGTGGAAGGTGAAGGGGATATAATGATACGCGACGTAGCAGCCATACGCTGTTGTTGTTGTTGTTGATATTGATGATGTTGTTGCTGTTGCTGTTGTTGTTGGTGATGAGGACTCACCGTTGTCGTGGCAACTCTGTTGCTAGAGAGGGAGGACGATCGTCGACGCGGTATGGGTATCTGCACATGAGTGGGGGAATAAAATGTCTCTTTCAGGATGGTAAACAAGTGGAGTGGGAATAATAAATTGCTTGTTGGTTCAACAACAAATTGTGGTTTGGGCTCTAGATAAGAAGGAGGATAATACGTCTTGCCAAACACACCATCTGATAATCTCTTGATTTTTGGTGAATCTGGTGAAGGTGGTCTGTTGTCTAATAATATATAAAAAAAAAAGTTTAATTTTTTTTTTTTTCTTGTGTGATTGTGCTTCTCTTTTATATTACCGCAAAGATCTAGAATAGGAGCCAATTCTACTGGAGAGGCACAAGGTGGAGGAGTAGATGTCAAAGTAGGTGATACTCTGCTATAATATGCTGATGTCGATGATGGCGTTGATATTGTTGCGTTAGTAACAGCAGTAATAATAGATGATGAATGCGGCATTTTTGTCTTTTTTTTTTTTTTGACTTTCTTTTTTTTTTGTAGTGGTAGTAGTAGTAGTCTAAAAGAAAGAAAGAAAGAGAGAGAGAGAGAGAGAAAGAAAAAAATATAAAAAAAAAGGAAAAAATAAAAAGGAAATATAAAAAAAAAAAAGGGGGGGAGGGAAGGAACCTTTCCTCTTCTTTTCAATGGACTGGGCTCAACTTTACTCAAAAAAAAAAAAAAAAAAAAGACTGACTTTTAATAAGTATTGTACAATGGACATATACAAACAGAACACACGCATTGCATGTTCCAATCAACTATTATATAAATATACAAGGGGCTTTCCCTTTCTTTTTTTTTATTTATTTATTATCCCCCCATCTTATTTAATCAATTCATCATCATAATAATAATAATAAAAATTCATTGTTTACTCATATTGATTGTTATATAATCTTTCTTTTTTTAAACAATTAACTAATTGAGGAGAGACATTGAGAGAGAGAGAGAGAGGACTTGTTTGATTCGGTTCCGATCATTTTCATTATTTATAATTGACTCCGAGAAAAAGGGCACAATAACGTCACCAGCAACAATAGCCAATCATTTTACATTTGTGTATCCTCATCACTTCGGCATCTCTCCGACGGGGCACACCTTCTTATCCCCCTCCTCCTCCACCTCCTCCCCCCAAAAAAAAAAAAATGACAAAAAGAGTTGTCTTATTCAAAAAGAAAGATACACACGATGCATATGATGAATTATTTACAACTCATGGTTTCTCTACCCAATTCATACCTGTACTGGATCATGTCTCTACACATATTGACAGCATAAAAGATATTTTAACTGCAGGTCCTGAACGTTGGACTGCTCTCATCTTGACTTCTCATCGTTCAGTGCATGCCATGGCAGAAGCTTACAGTCAAATTACCTTCATGTCAGAAGAGACAAAAGCTGCTTGGAATAAATTGCCTGTGTATTTAGTGGGTCCACACACCGCTCATATCTTATCAAATGAATTACCTGCGCTTTTTAACGACCCTTCTCATTGGACAGTAGCACCCAGGGCACTCGAATTACTCCCCCATCTCATGGCTCTACCCAAAGCCGCCGGAGAGCTGCTCTTCCTGGCCGGAGATAAAAGACGGGATTTAATTCCTACAGAATTAAAAGCTGCTGGATTCCACGTGCATGAAATTCAATCGTATGCCACCACTCGTCATGCCAATCTATCCAATCGTCTATCTCAGTTAAACTCATTGTCGTCGTGGTATGTCTATTTTAGTCCTTCGGGTCTTCATTATGTACTCGACTGTATTGACCCTCATCAATTCAATGGTGCTTTATTGGCTGCTATTGGTCCAACAACAGCAGAAGCAATGGAACAAGCAGGTCTTATACCAGATGTTACTTCTTCTGCTCCAGATGCTCAACATTTACTCGATGCCATTGTGCGGTCAATGAAATAAAAATAATAATAATAATCTATAACCGGCTTAAATATACCAAAAAAAGGTTTTTTTTTTTTTTTAATAGTTTTTTTTTTCTATTTATAAAAAGATGACATTGTAGATGTCTTTACGGGTAAATCTTTTCACAACGTCAAAAAAAGGTGCTGAGACATGAGGATGACACTTTCTTATAAATAGAGAGAAAGCGAGAGAAACCTGCTCAATTTTTTTATCATTATACATTCACTCTCTCTCTCTTTATAAGAACCTATGAGACTTTCCTTACTTGCCATCTTGGCTGCTTCACAGTACGTGTTTGCAGCCCCTACTCAAACTACGTCTGCCCCTACTACCACGACGTCTTACATTGCTCAATTCTCTCCTGTCTTTCCCAGTATGCCTGCAGCCACCGGTGTGGTTTCTTCCTATAACGCTGGTCCTTATGATGTCGCTACTGCCTTATCCACTGAGACCTTGAAGGGATACCCTGAACCTTGGGTCTCTCCCGACACTGAAAGCGAAGAAGTCAAAGCTGCCTATAACAAGATTGATTGGTCTCTTGTACCCAAGGCTCCCGTACGTAAACAAACCAGTAAAGGATTCGTACCTGATACCGATGGCCCTAAGGATCCTTATTGTTGGTGGTCAGATACCAATTGTGTTAAACCCAAGATCAATATTCCTCATGATATTTATTCTTGCCCTACCAAGGGTGATTGGGGTTTATCCTATGATGATGGACCTTTTAACCGTTATACCGGTAAAGATGCTAAAACGGAGAACCCATTTGCTGAACCTGCCCTCTATAATTTCTTGGCAGACCATAATAACCAAAAGGCCAACCTCTTTGTAAGTTTATAAAAAAGAATATACAGAAATCAAAATTTTAAAAATTATCCTCCTCCTCCTCTTATAGTACATTGGTTCCAACGTGGCTACGTATCCTGCAGCTGCTAAACGTGCATTCAATGATGGTCATTATATCTGTGTTCACACCTGGTCTCATCCTGCCATGACAACGGTTACCAACAAACAAGCGGTTGCTGAACTTTACTGGACCTTGAAGGCGATCAAGGAAGCGATTGGTATTACACCTAAATGCTGGCGACCTCCTCAGGGAGACGTGGATGATCGATTGAGATCGATTGCTTGGCAAATGGGTATGCGTACGATCTTGTGGGACGAAGATTCGAACGATTGGGATATGCCTGCCCCTGGTGGAGGTAATTTACCTGAGGCTACCGTGAATGGTTACTTTGAAGGTTGGATCGCTGATCAAAAGTCGGGTAAAGAAAAACATGGTCATATTGTACTTGAACATGAATTGAATCATGCTACGGTGAACATGACAATGAAATGGTTGCCTACGTTGCAAACAGTATTTAATGTCATTCCTGCCATGGCATGTAATAATATTACTCAACCTTATTGGGAGACGCAGTATGTTTATCCTACGGTCAATGCACCTGCTGCTACCAATGTCACTAGCTCGGCTGATGCTGCTACAACCACGGATATTACGCTTACTTAGATTAGTTTTTTTTTTTTTTAAAAATAAACTTCTAATTTTACAGAATTCAACATTTTTTTATTTATAGAATATGAAACCTCTTATCAAACATTTTTTTTTGGGGGGCGGACCTTTTCTCTCTCTCTTTCTCTATTATTTTTTTTACATGGTGCATGGTGTAATTACAAGATGGGGTTGTTAGGGAAAAAACAACTTATTAACCTATTCATGAGGGTGACCCCGTTCATCAGTTACCCATAATGTTTATCTCTTATATTATTCATTAGATAATCCTGAGGAGGCTCCATCATCACATGAAATAATGATCAAATTTGACGTTTTACTTGTTTTACCTAATCTTTTTTTTTTTCAGCTAAAATAAACTCACTAAAAAGAAGACAATGAAGGGGGGGGGGCGTCTTTTTTTTTTAAGGGGGGGGGGGGGTTTAGCCCAGCCACCCTATTTTTTTTTTATTTCTTTCTCAGCTATCGGAAGCTTCCGAAAAAAGGGTGAAGATCTATTTTGACAAAAAAAACATCTTTTTGGTTTCATTGTTGTTATTAAAACAAAGGGTTTACTTTTTTCTATCTTTAGTGTCTAGACTTTTTTTTTCTGTGGTGATCTTCTTTAAGGAGAGGCTCATTATACAACTCCCACACATATCGGAAATCCAATTTTTTTTTTTTTTTTTTTTTTAAGAGTGTGTCAGGTGAGGGAAGATAACAATGATTGTCAAAAAAAAAAAAAAAAAAAAATACACACTACCATGTGCTCTTAAAAAATTCGAGCTCCGTCTCTCCTTCTTTTTTAAAAAAAAGAAAAAAGTGCCTCTGTATTCATAAATGGCACAATGAAGAAGTGTAATACAGAGGCAGTTGGGGGTGGCCCGTGAGATTGCCTAAAATCTTTAAATGATATTTTCGACTCTTTTCTCGAGTTCCCTTTTTTTAGCAACAACCTCGTTTTTTAATTTAAAAAAAGGCTACCTGAGAAAAAAAACGTGGTGTAAATCTAAATACAGATAAATTGGACACATTTAGGTTTTAATTTTTTTGTGATGTATTTCATTATTTAATTATCTTGAGCTATTGTATTTAAGCTATAAAAAGATAGGGTCCCGTTATTGTACAGTGTTTCATTTAAGGAACACCTCTTCCCGCAAAGAGAGTTCATTGGAGAAAACATCACCCAGAGAAAAGAAAAAAAAAAACAAGGCACTTAATTTTTTTTTGAAACATTCTTGGCAATCATCTAAAACACAGTGATTTTGACTGTTCTACTGATAAACTTTTTTTCGCCAAAAAAAAAAAAGTTGCATCACCTTACCCACATGATAAATGCCATGCTTTTCTTGACAAACCCCTATTCTAACAGTCAATAAGCGCGGGTAAATCATGTACACAGCCTTTTTTTTGTAAATGATGCGCTCTAAAACTACATTCCAAGTAGAATATAAATCCTTCTCTTTCAAATCCAAAATGAAATGATAAATAGTAGTGAATATATACGACAGATATACGAAAAACACGAAACATTTCATATTTTAGTTAAAAGTCATCCTAGGGGGCCAGACTTTGTCCATTCAACCTGACTCCTTAAAAGTGGGTGGCAACGAGTAAAGTGTCTCATTTTTAAATGGATTTGCATGAATTTAATTCTGTGTGACTGTATCAGATTCTAAGGTTATTCTTACTTGTAGAAACAATCTATAATCTTATTAACTGGTGGTGGCAGTGATGCTCATAATGTATCAGCAGCATATGAAGGGATTCCATGATAGACATCATCAAAGATGCATCATTGAGATGAATGGTCAATGCCGAGAGGAAAATTAGCAAACAAATTACAGGGAATTTAACGTTGCTTTCTTTTATAAAATTTCCCCACTGAAAGTTAGCACAAGTAATTTAAGATCAAACTCACCGAGATCAAGCTCGTGTGGTGGGACGAATTCACTGCAAAAGTGTTTCAAGACAAAAGAACAGATCGTCATGGGCGCAAAGTTTATGTCACAATTATAGGTATGTGTGTGTGTGTGTATATGTGTGTGGGCAATAGTCAACTCTCTCTCTTTTTGTTTTTCTTAGGCGTTTACCTTCAAAGTAAAAAACTGTTATGCCAAACTGGAATCAAATACCAGCCGAAGTGTTAACCGAGATCTTTAAGCTTCTCGATCGTGCTTGTCATGACACACTTGAATGTCAACGAGGGGGTTTTCAGCGGATGCTTGTTTGCAAGCACTGGTGTCGTATTGCTCGAATGTTATTATACAAGGAAGTAACCATGTTGTCTATCAAGCAACACGACACATTTTTATCATGCATGAGCCGTTCCACCACCCACACGAATCAACTCGTCCATTCATTTAAAGCATTTACCGAAATGACCAATGTCAAACTTACCAACGCCAAACTAGAAGAGGATCTCGGTCTCATTTTAAACGTGTTACCCAACCTACAACGAATTGAGGCCGTACCCCAAAGGGCTTCCTTCTTTACCAGACTCTTATTTGAACATCACTCTCTCATAAACCGACCAGCTCAACTGGTTGAAATACCTGGCTTTTGTAAAAATTGTGAACAAGATGCAAGAGCTTATCAATATGTTGTTTGGTTTCTCAAGACAACGCTCCAAAAAATGATTTTACCCGATTGGCACATCATACACTATAACATATCCACCCCATTAGAGGAATTCAAGAATTTAACAAGTCTCGAACTCAGTGTCACTAGTTCTTCCCAAATGTATGATATAGGCACCATTGTGACAAGATGCTCCAACTTGAGTAGTTTACATGTTGTGCGCAGTAACAGGTATGATCCCTATGAAGCTCAAGAAAATAAAGTCATCGATCCAACCCGTGTGCAAGCAATACCCCGTATTGTCCATCTGCAGATCGATGGCACTTTGGTGACTACTAGTCATTCTATCATGCGTCTCATGATGTTGCTATTTCCACGACTTCATTCATGGTTTATGGATACAAACTTGGGCAAATACCCTTATCTTGAATATGAAGGACTAAGCAAAAGGATACCCGTGGAGATTTGGGTTCAATTTTTAAACTATTTGAGCAAGATCCGTAAATTTTATGGTCGCAATTTAGTGATTTGTTCTTTGCCTCAGGTTCTGAAGGGAATATCTACAAGCACTGGGTTCTGTAAAAATATCAAGATACGCTACAATGAACCTTCTTTTGGACAGCGTCCTGTTTTGCATATCAGTTCCCCTACCGCCATTGATTCTTATGATGATAACCTACTTGAAACCGTTGTATCTTATTTTCCAGTCAACGCCAACTTCAATTTACCCCATGTGTCTTTAATCCAACAAATTGGCTTTCAATTAGAACATTTAACTGTGGATTTGGACCAGGTATCCTTACATCATGTCATCACTTATGTAGAGTCAGGACGTGATAAGATAATGACGGGACACTTTATCAACCATATCTTTCAGCATTGTCCAGTCCTAAAAACATTAGTGATCGCTGGAGTGAATTTGGTCTATTGTGACGACGGTACGATGGAGGCGCCAGCATCTTTAAAGCTTCTACATTTTCAAAATTGTAAAATCTACCACGTGATGAATTTTCTGCACGACTTATCGCATCGATTACCCTCTCGATTGGAACTGATGATCATTGATCACTGTGGTTTTTCTTTGAACGAATGTGAATCCACAGCTCATGTGGACATGCCATCGACCCTATTTGGATGTTTATTTTTTTCGACGAGAAAACAGCTTGATATCATGCATTGGAATTTGGCGATCAAGGTGACCAGGGTGTCTAAACCCTCAGTTTACTATCGATTGTATGACCAACATAAATTGCAAACGTTGTCGAACGAAAAAGAATTCAAGATGTGTGCCAAGAACGGACAGACCATCGCTGTGGAAATTACATGTGCTGATATCGAAAAATTGTTGGTGCGAGCCTATGGGATTCAAATACTCATCTTTCCAAAGGAACAAGTTGAATATGAAGATGGTCAAGACTATATCAATTCTTCTCCCGAGTTTCAGCATGTTCAAACAGAAGCCTCTTACCTCCATTCCCTAATTTTTTAAAAAAAACAAACAAACAAAAAGAATAGCAAAAAAAAAAAAAAAAAAAAAAAGTCATCAAAAAGTATAACGGGATATATGATTAGTCTAACTATCAAGGTTTCAATATAATTAATAAATGAAGTATAAAATAGGGTACACTTAAGTCTTGTTACAAAATAATGGAGTTTCATAGTTTTATAATATAATATTATCTTAATTTATTCTTAACTAGACACAAGGCGGGATTAGGAAAGAATATGGTTGGAGATTTTGTTGCGGGGGTATTGGACGTACAACTCCTAAATAAAGCTACACGTGTGTATATGGTTTAATTAAGTCTACCAAAATAGACTTCATTTATCCAATTTAACTTATAGTAACATCAACTTTTTATAGCACTCTTGACAGTAATAATATCCTATTCCATATACAATAAACTCTGAACATACTTGCTGGAAACATGACCCTGTCTTCTCTCATCTGGAAAATTTCAAAGGATTGAATACTGAAGTAAACGACTTTTTTTTTTATGTTCTTTCGTTTTTATTTAGATTTGTAAACTCTGTTACATTACTCTAACTTTTTTTTTTGTTCAGTTGAAATCAGAGGTTTTACTGTCTCTTGGTGTATAGGGAAGCTGCTGCTGTAATGTAGTGCTAATACGTTATTTTACACAAATATTCATGAGAAAAACATGCTGAAGTTTATTTTACTATGTTTTAACATAATTTGAGAAACATACCAGTTGATTTTAAATGGGTTGGCAATTCATCACGAATTCGAAACCTTTTCTACATGAGGCAAACCTGAGAAAAACAAGGAAAAAAAAGCTGGTATTTATATAAAATTAAAACTGACGTCATGGAGTTCATTTATTAGCCAATGAAATCCACCCAAAAAGTAAATTATTCATGCACGCCCTTTTCTTTATAAGTATGACTGACCTCACATCTTTTCCTCCGTACAAAAACTTTTGTTTTGTACGACACAAAGATATCAAGTTATTATAACAATCTCGACAGCTAAAGCAACAACACCGATTTCTCAACCAATTCTGGCTCCCCCTCGACGTCCAAAGAGTATCCTTCCGACCTCGAAAGACATACACGACAACTGCTCATTGGGTGCAGATTCTCAGGAATCTTCCACATCACCTGAGAACTCTAAACAACTTACAGGCCCTCCCGCAAATACCGTAACAACCGTTGACCCACCTTCCCTAATCTGTAAACCAGCAACCAAACGTCCTTTCACTGCTTCTACCATAGTAAAACTGTTTGAAGACAACATTACACGTCAAAAGAAATACACCGGTACAAACACCTCCACCATGAGCCACATCTCTCGGCCATCTACTTTCCACAACGCGATGGAAAACAACACGCTTTCTACAAACCAGTTAACACCTGCCACGTCCCACGATGATATTTCTCCTGACGATATCTCATCTCACCCCCTCGACAAGGAGACTCCCTCATTGAGAAACACCTTTCTTTTTGCAGATACGTCAAATGATTTTGTATCTCAGAGTAGCCTACCTGAGGTAGCTAATAATTCTTCTTTCCGTGATAACGATACACCCAAATGGGCTTTGGACTTGCAAGCTCAGATGAATCGACTTGTTGCCCTTTTCGAAATGACTACAAAAGAAAATTTAACACTCCGTCAGGAACTAAAACTTTCTAATGCTCGCATAACTTCGCTGGAACAAAAACTTTCTGACACTCGACGTGCTGGAAATTTTGATTTTACTGTTCCAGAAAATATTCTTAATAGCTTTGGCAGCAATGCCTCTAAGTATTCAGACACTAACTATTCGGCAAAACAACCGACCACTGGTCACAATACCACTAAAGCTCCTAATGATAATAAAAATGAACCTACTAAGACCTCCTTTGCAGACATGGCAAAAAAGCCGGTCTTGCTGAACAATCCTCGTAAGCGAGTTACGCCTAAGCAACGTAAAGCAGCCGCTCGTATCTTTGAAGCCCCCGCTGCACAAACATCTTCCGATACTTTTCTTTATTTATACTTGCCTAACAAATATCGAATTCGCATCAAGGAATTCCGTCAAAAACTTCGAACCATGGGAATCGATAATGGCCGCATTCTCGATATTCATTATCCAGCTCGTGGCGTGGTGGCAATTTTGATCCATCATAGCTATCGAGAAGAATTAGACTCTATCATAAAGAAATCAAACATTATACCTATTGCAAACTTTAATCCAACTGCAGTTGAACATGTTAACGACACCTCTTTAACTCACCTTACGGCGGATGAACGATCAGCGAAGGCAGTCGAGTTTCACCAAAATCGTCTCATCAGAGGTCTGAAGTTTATTCGAATTTACCTTCGCCGATCAGTGGCCCGAACCTTCGTCAATCGAGGATGGATTACCGAAGAACAAGCACATCAGGTGCTTACTGATCTCCACAAGGGACCTACCCATAGCAACAAATCTAACAACGATTCCAATACACCAAATAAGGACAACGACGACAGTTACCATTTTGGGACTAATGGATCTAGTAAAGAATTTGAGAAGGGTAGTGATAACACACAACCAAGCAGCAACGTCCACGAACAGATGGATATTGAAGACGAATCGTATAATAACTCCTTGCCTGGTGTCGGTCAACCAGCCCCCCGCCAATAAATGAGTACCTCTACCGATACCTCTCCCCCTATGCCAATATATGATCACGCTATGACTAACCATAATATTATGCCTACTAATTACCCTATGCACTCATCTGGCGACCATCATACTCAACCCGCAACCATACACAGGCAACCTAACCGACCTCACTTTAAAAGCACCAACCTCAAAATTGGATCTCTTAACTGTCGAAGTTTAGCTTCAACCTCAAACCCACGCTCTCGACAGAAATTCAATCGTTATCTACGCTCCCTCAAATATGACATACTCAATTTCCAGGAAGTCCGAACAGAAGACAGTGCGATCATCGACATACTGAACATGGAACTACAAACTAAAGACTCAATTTGGACACCACACGTCGGAATCGTTAGTTTCAACCCCATGATTCGAATCACACCCATCTTCATCACTATGTCCAAACACGCTGTATTTGTAAAAATACATCACATTAATCACCACTTTGAACCAATATTTTTACTCAACTTGTACGCTCCCAGCCAACCGGGCCCAAAAAAACAATTCTATAGCGATATAATGGCATTGCCTCTATTTAAAGATGATCGGGATATAGAACATTTTACTAAATATTCTAACTTCTTGATCACAGGTGATTTCAACTATCATCACTATACCTCACAACGAACAACACAATCATCCCCACCAAATCCTATCTACTCTTGGAAACAAACAATAGGTCAATTTCTACATGATTGTATCAATACAGACGATGTAAGCGAACTTTTTTCTATTGACAACCCACACGTCACATTCAGTCGAGGTAACTCCCGCACCACCATCGACTACATTTTTGCTTCTCTAGCCATCAAAGCCAGTATGACTTCATCCCAAGTCAATTTTATCAACTCTGATTGGACTGATCATGCTCTACTCTCCATTGATCTCACCATGGTGAGCAAAAAACACGGAAAAGGCATATACCGAGCCAATCCGACATTGGCCAAGAACAAACGCTTTGTCGAACAGCTAAACACACTGCTTCAAGAATTGAAACCAGATCCCGCCCAACAGCCCCACAATTCTCCTCAAAAAGAATGGGACGCCATGAAACGAGAAGTGCGACGGTTTTGCCAACGATTCAGTCGATATTACTGCCAATGGCGACATAAACAAATTAACAGACTTCAACTACGCCGATCCCAAATTATCTTTAAGCACTCCCACAATCCTGCCAGAATAAATCAATTACTACCCACCGTAGAACAACAATTGGGAATTCTTCAACAGGAGGTGGCAGAAATCGATGCAATTCGAGCTGGAAAACATTGGCGTGAACAAGGCGAAACCTCTGCCGGATTTTTAAAACGAACAATCCAACAAAGGGAACAACAACGAACTATGAACACAGTCAAGCACCCCGTTTCGGAAGAATTATGTCATACTGAAAAGGATATCCAGGAAGCAGTTAGAGCATTTTACCAGGACCTGTTCAACCCAGAACCGATCCGAGAGGCATCGGTCACGAAAATATTGTCACATATCACTGATGAATACAAAATCAGTCGCGATACTGCTACAGGACTAATGCAACCATTCATGATTGACGAAATACTAGAAGGTGCCAAACGATCCCCATCCAAAAGTAGCCCTGGTCTAGACTCTATTCCCTATGAAATATTGGCCCTCATATTAGTAGATCCCTATTTTAGTACCTTATGTGTCACTATATTCAATACCGCACTCACACAATCAATCTTTCCGGAAAGTTGGATGAAAACATCTATGGTACTTTTACCTAAAAAAGGAGACTTGACCCAATTGAAATACTGGCGTCCAATTGCTCTAATCAACACGGACAGCAAAATCTTCACTCGCCTATTGAACTCCCGAATGATGGAATCAGCTGTCGACATCCTCAGCCCACAACAACTAGGCTTTATGCCCGAACGATTTATTGGAGATCATGGCCTTACTCTCCAATTAGCTATCGAACACGTCAAACACCAAATACCACACGATGAAGAAGATTATCATTGCGTCGGACTACTTCTAGATCAGGAAAAAGGGTACGATCGAGTATCTAAAGACTACTTGCGCGCCACTTTAACAGCTTTTGGATATCCCACACCACTTATCAATACCTTGACTGGTCTGTTTTTCAACACATCCATTCAAGTCAACATTAATGGTCATCTTACCACTCCCATCCAACAAAATCGAGGCTTAAGACAGGGTGATCCCATTTCACCACTTCTGTTTAATCTAGCTTTTGACCCGTTCCTGAAATCAATTAGTAATCATCCCACATATGCCGGCTTGTCTTTTACAACACCAATCCCGAATGATGCCTCTACCAATGGCATGCGGTCCAACGACACCTTACCGGTAAATGAAGAATCACTTCCCCGTCCACTACGGC